GTCCACCTGCCCCTGGCCCACCTGCCTTCCATCTGTCCCTGGTTTGGTCTCAGTCCTATGTATTGCTTCTTGTTAGGGACCCTGAGAGACCTGTCTCCTGTTCCAGTCCTGAATGGGCAAGGGAGTCTGGGCGATGAGAGCAGGAAGTCAGATACTGGTTTACCTGGGCCCATGGGGGGAGAGGTGGGCTTAGGCACTGGGATGAGCCGGCTGTGATTGGCCTTCCTTCCTCTCCTCCTTGCTCACCTCTTGGGAATGGGGGATTGGCTTTTGTTTATTTGAATCTCTCTTTTCTGTGACTTCTACCCACCACCTATCTTGGTAGACCCTGGGTCATTGTCTATTCTTTCTTCTCTGCTCCCTTCTCTCTTGGTCCCTGTCTCTCTCTTCGGCCTTTGTGTGCTTCCCTCTTCCTGGGACCCCATCTCGGTGTCTGCTTGCCTTTCTGGGTGACTCTCTTGTGTCTTGCTTCACTGGTGGCTCCCAGGTATCCTTCCTGTGACACCCCGAGCTGCAGCTGTAGGATCAGTTGTCCCCAATGTGCAGGTGGTGGGCGTGTGGGTGTAGGGAATGCTGTATGGAGACCCTCGAGGAACCACACCAAGCCCATCTCTCAGCTCTTTCGTGGTTCGGGGACCGGGACCACCGAATCTGGGGGCGCTGGAGGACTGATGAGTCCCAGGGACGCGCAGCGCTGGGCCAGCGAGATAGAACTGCTGGAGCTGCAAATGGGCCTGGCCCTGGAGCCTCCATCGAGTCTAGCACCACTGCATCCCCGGGGATCCTCAAGATCATTGGCAGGGGCCTGGCGTCGGGTGCCAACCACAAGCGCGTGCTGGCCACGGCGCCGGAGCTGGTGGCTGAAGCGCTGGAGCACTATGGGTTGGCCAGCAGCCCATGCGAGAGCAGCGGCGTGGACGTCTTCATGCTGTGCGACGTGCTGGACCAACTAGCCAAGGCCAGAGTGGGCAGCAGCGAGTGGCGGCCAGAGCACCTGCGCGTGCTGGGCGACTCGGAGCGCCCACTGCTGGTGCAGGAGCTGTGGCGCGCTGCTTGGAGCAGGAAGCCTTCCGGGGCTGCGGTCAGTGAAGGTGAGCTAGTGCTTAGGGACTCTGGGCCTCCCGAGCCAAAAGGCGCAGCCAGTGGGACCCTACTGGGAAGGGCTGAGGGCGTGGCTCTGGAGGGGCAGGCTCTGAGGGGTGGGCGGGGCCAAGGAGGAGTCTCAGACATAGGTGACTTTTCGGATCTATCATGTATGTAAAAGGCTTAACACAGGAGTTGTTATACAATTTGTGCTTAATTATGAATGGCGATTCTAATTATGTCATTAAGGAGTTCATTGATTACCTGTTGAGGGGCACACATTTGTTAGGGCCCTGGGAATATAACAGGGCCATTGCCAGGTGAATTTTCCACCTTCCCAAATATGACATTTATTTATTTATTTATTTTTGGTGCTGGGGATTGAGCCCAAGGCCTTTGTTCACATCAATTATTCATTAGTTCACTTCTCTTGGGCACCGAGTATGTGCCAGAGCCTTTGTCGGGGCCTGGAAAAGCCATGTCCCACGGTACAGTTCCTTCCTTCAATCTGGACTGTCAATAAAGGGCGTTTGTTGGGAGATTGTTTCCATGTCCCAGAGGATAGAGTCTTCTCTGTAATTCATTATCTACAATAGTTCCTAGCAGATAGTGGGTGCTAAATGAAATAACATTAAAGGAATGGATTTTCAAAACTGCAGTGGGTAAAAGAACAAGGGTAGTTCCAGGCACAGTGGACAGCCTCTTCAAAAGCCCAGGTGTGGTGGGCAACATCAGCTCTAGGTGGCCAGTTCTGTTTGGATGATCTCAGCTCCACCCACCCCTGATCTTTCCAATCTCACCCTGTTTTTTAACTCTCTCTGTAGGTACCTGTGCCCCTTTGTGGCAGCCAGAGAAGAACCGTTCCAGAGTTGCTCCTGGTGGGGAGGTGCTGACCAGTCCTGGTTCAGCTGGTTCCAAGGGCGAGGAGAGCTGGGAAAACTTGCCCTTCTGGCGCAGCATGTCAGAGCTGAGCCTGCACGGTCGACGGAATGCAGGCAGGAGGCACTGAGCATGGCCCCAGGGGCAGCTGATTCCCCAGTAGATCCTGCAGACCCCGGGATGTTGATCAGTTGACTCATCCAGGCCCCCAGCAATCACCCCTGCTATTGTGGGATTTGAACACAGACAGGGCACCAAGACATTCAACAGGAAGGAATTTATTTATTTGTGCCTGTAGAGACACAGAGGATTGTTATCCAAAGGCTGAGTATGCAGGGATGCTGGCCTTATATACCTCTGGCAAGCTCTTTGTCTCCCATATAAGGTAATACACATTCTGATTGGGTATTTTTATGCTATAGAGTTGCAACAAAGTTGAGACAGCATCACACATAACTGAGTTACAACAGAGTCACCCCAGATTTACAGCAGAGTTGGCATGCACAGTAAATGTGACATGTTGCCTTTTCTTTGTTCTGGGAGGGCCCTTACCCCATTCTCCCCTTTGATTCTCAGATCCCTTTAGGGTCAAAGGGCATCATTCTGATTTAAAGGCTTATATCTCTGTGACATCATAACACGTGCTGCCCAACCATACCTCCATGAGACTGGAGATAGAGTTCATAACCAGGGGTAATATGGCAGGGTAGGAGTCGGCAGGCTCCCAGCATTAAACCCACAACACTTGTAAGAGTTTTGAATCCCCCCAAAATTGAAAACCATCCTTCAAATAATTCCTTGTGATTCCAACCTTTTCAGGTCTGGACCAAGACATGAATGACCTTTTTTTTTGTTTTTTAATCTGATTTCTACTCTGACCTTGCCCTCATCATCTATTTGTAGGTAACAGTTGCCCAGGTTAAATTTCCCACTCATCTCACCTTCAGAAGCAAGCAAGTAGTGTTTGATGCTAAACAATTCTGATAAATAGCATTGTGCACTTGAATACCTTGCTTAGCCAGTAAATTGAGGGCTTGTGTCGTCTCATTAGTTATAATTTCAACAACAGCTGTTAGCCTAATGTTGTGATTTAACATATACATGGGAGTCCAGTACCCGCAGGACCCCTCTTCTGCCCAGGTGGCTGGACCAAAATAGTGAATTATCCACTCAGGGGGCCACTCGTCATCTTTCCAGTTGCCAGTTGCCAGGGCTTGCCACTCTCTTTGGGCCCCTTGGTCTTCATATACTGGGGCTCCCAACTACTCCCATCTTGCTAATGGAAGGAGGGAAAAAAGAGGGGCAAATTGTCCCCAGTACACCAGATCTGGACCAGAATTGGGGCAGTTTAGCATAGGTGGCCCTTCCACGTAGCCAGTGTAGTTATCCGGGTAGTTATATTACAGAATTTTTGGCCCAGACATGGTAGAGTCCCAACTGAGATGTTAAACAGTTTTTCCTCTCAGGTAAGACAATATTTTCTAACAATTGAGGTTTTGAGGAACCAGACACCAGTGGTTGAAGGGGAGAGAATGATTCCACTATAGGGCTCATGGGGGTCTAGCTCTTTAGCCTCCCATGGCCACTGATACCCTGTATTGGTTTCTCTACACACATGGCAAGAAGACATGTTTAGAGATTGAACCAGAGCCTCTGCCAAGGTTAGGAATGGGTTTCTGTTTATGGCGAAGATAGGAGACAGGCTTTTCTCCATTTCCTCATAAAAGGAATGAAAGATCTGGTAGGAGGAAGACTTCAGTGAAGTTGTAACCCCTTTGAAGTACCATCTGGTTCCAGGGCAGCACCTCCTCCAAACTATACATAGGCCAGTTGGATGGCCTGTTCTCCATCCTGAGTCTTCAGGGTCAACAATAGTGAAATTAACAAAATTATAGGCTTGCAATTTATAGCTGGTGTAGCAACACCCTTTTGAAGTTTGGGAGTTTTACTGTTACCACTCTGCCAGGTACCCATGCAACACAACTGTAAGAGGGACCAAAAAACTCAGCATAATCAGTACCCATGGACCCCACACACCATTTTCAGGCTGTTGACACATATACTTGACATTGAACCTGTACCTCATTTCCCCAGATATGTCTCCATGTGATGTGGTGGACTTACTGAGACCATAGGGCAGGTAACATCAAGTGCTCAAGTCTCACTCATGACCTCCCATGCATCAAGGATACTGACACTGGTTGCTTTAGATTAGTCAACTGTGTAAATTAATGGACCTGTTTCACGTCACCTTCTGGTAAGCTTTGGACTTCCAGCCAATCCCCAGCTGGGTAATACTGTGGATTGAAACAAGTATATTGATCCTCCTGTTGGCAGATAGAATATGTGGTCTTGTTATACCTGCAGGTCCCCGAGACTGTTCCCTGGCAGGAAAAATGATAAAGTAGGTTGTGGCAACACCTTGGCCTGATTGAATCATGTGAAGGCCTGGGTCACAGGATGAAGAGCTTAAATCTAAAAATGGGAGCCAGATCAGATGCTTCCAATGGCAACAAAATGCCCTATCAAAAGGGGGTGAAGAGTGTACAACCAGAGATATGAAAAATTGTGCTCTATATGTGTAATATGAATTGTAATGCATTCTGTTATCATATGTAACATCAAAATTTTAAAAAGAATTTTAAAAGGGTGGGGTGAAGAAACTGCTAATAGAAACTTTTCAATCCAGTGTCAGTCAGTTGGCGCAGTCTCTGCTAATCCTACAGCAAAAATTAAGGCTAGGACTATGACAACAGAGAGGGGTAAGGGGTGACGGTGCCCAAGCATTACAGTGAGAAACTAATATAGGAGATAAAAGTCCGTTTATCCTGGCAGGTGGTCTATCCCTCAAGCTTCTGTCGTGCACAGATTAGTCAGCTTCCAGAGTGACTAAAGCAGGGATGTTGTCTTTGGGGTCTCTTGAGGGTACAGCTTGCTTATTTTAGAAGGTAAACTTGCATGGGGGTGGCCTGGGGATGCATGCCCAGTTACATAAAGCTGGTTTCACTCCGCTGTGCTGAATCCAGGGGACCACCTTGGCCACCTTGATTGTAGTAGGGGTGGGTAAAATTACAGTGAATGGACCTCTCAAAAGAGGCTTTAGGGATTGGACATTTTATTTCTTTACCCATACAGCATCTCCAAGTTTAAAGGGGTGGACATCTGTGGTCCGGCTCATGGGTAGCCATTCCCTAATCCAATGGTGTCTAGGGATCAGGGTAGAGCCTACAGTCTGCATCTTCTGCATCAGAGTAAAGTTGCACACTTTTTAGATCTTGTATACCCTTTATAATGGGAGGAGGGCATTCATAAAGAATGGCATAAGGCTGGGCACTGTGGCACACACCTGTAATCCCAGCAGCTCGAGAAGGAGACAGGAAGATCATGGGTTCAAATCCAGCCTCAGCAAAAGCAAGGTGCTAAGCAACTCAGTGAGACCCTGTCTCCAAATAAAATACAAAACATGGCTGGGGGTGTGGCTCAGTGGTTGAGTGCCCTGAATTCAGTCCCTGGTACTCCCCCCTCCACACACACAAAATGAATGGCATAAGAAGAGGACCCTGTCTGTCTAGCAGGGTAGACTTAATCCTTAGCAAACAATTAGTGATACCTGGTCCCAGTGCAGCTGGGTTTCCTGACACAGTTTGCCTAGTAGTACCTTTAGAGTTTGGTTCATTCACTCCACCTTCCTGGAGCTCTGTGGACACCACGCAGTGTGTAACTTCCAGGTGATCTTTAATTCCTCTGTCATCAATTACACCACCTTAGTCATGAATGCTGGCCCACGAATGGCTGTTTTGTTTATAAATCTCCTCCCAGATATTCAAGATCAAGTTGGCCTAAATTGACCTTGTTCCTATTTATTCTCAAGGGTCAGCTGAGATTCCTCAGGGATTCACTCTTGGGAACTAGTGAGAAGCCTCATAGCTCCTCCAGTTTCCTCTACCAGTTGTTCCATCTGCCAGGATGGATCACCATCTTCCTGACCAGATGTGACTTCCCTTGGAAGTATTGGGGATATTTCCTTTTTCAGTAACCATCCTCTTTGCAGAATGTGCACTGGTTGGCTTCCTGTTCTCAAGGATCCCTTTGATCCCGCCCCCATCAGGAGATCATGTGACCCAGAGTTGTAAAGCCCTTAGGGAAAAACTCCCATTATTCCCTGGGCCATAGATGCCCTCAGAGGGCAAGAACCAAATTTATTGGCTGTTTTCCTGTAGCCCTTTAACTTCCTTAACTTTGTTTTGGCTTTAAACATCCAGCAGGCAAGTTTCATGAGTCTTGAAGTGGGAGTACTAGATTTTAACTTTAATGTCTATAACTTTACAGTTATTTATCCCTTTCATTTAATTGGGGTCAGCATTAGTACTGGAAGAGCCAAACTTATTATTTTGTCTGTCCCATGGTAATGGCTTATTTCAGAATTAACTCAGGTCCTGTTAGAAGGAATATTATTTCAAAACACAGGCAAAATTTATAAAGTTCCATAGGAACATACAAAGTGTCATTAACAAGACCAAAAACATTTAGTTTGTATAATAGCTTTGAACCAAGAAACATAATTTCTATAATATATCTAATAATATATCTTTGGTGTCTAGTTTGCCTTCACAAAGAACCAAAAATATGCCAACTCAATCACATATGAGACCTGTTACAAATTTTACTTTCTTTAAAAACTCTCTTATAATGTTACATGTCTCTTATAATTTCCCAAACCTTTACTTGTGTTCTATCCCTTGGTGATTCTGAGATCACAGTAATCTTCATAACAAAAACCTATCCTTTGAGGGGCTGGGGTTGGGGCTCAGCAGTAGAGCACTTGCCTTGCACATGCGAGACCCTGGGTTTGATCCTCAGCACCACATAAAAAAATACAGAAAATAAAGATGTGTTCAACTACAATTTAAAAAAATTTCTTTTGAACAAAACTTTAAATGAGCTTAAGTCTACCCTACTTTGGCTCCATCCTAACAAAGAGTAGGCTGAGAGGCAGAGATATCTCAGGTAAGATGGGGCTCTTGACAAATAACACACTACTACATCATCATCTGAAACATGAATCAAAACTTGAGATCTATTAGCCATTTTTTGTGTGGAAAAGTAATAAAGTGGCAAAATGCTTCCATATTCCATATTGCTAACCTTTAAACAAATTAGGCATTCCTTGTTTCCTTCCAAAAATACATGTAAATTTCCATCCCAGTGTGGAGAGTAACAAAATTTTATACATATCACTTTTTGGATGACAGGTTATTTTTATCCAATTACAAAATATTAATGACATAAATAAGTCCCCAGCTAATTTGTTATTTCCACATGAGACTGAAAGGGACTGCCACTACAGACAACTTTAGTTTGGAGAATACCAGCTTGGTAAATTTCTCTAAAAAAGACTTGTATAGTTGGAAGAGATGAATACATCTAATATACAAAGAAGTCGGTAACATCACAACTGCATTGATATCCTTATATTAACCAAGTATAACTTCTAAAGAAAATGTAGAACCCTTTGTGTAATGACCCAAAATATGATTTGACTGTACAAACCTTAATTTCTTTGAAACTAGTTCCCCTAAATAATAAAACCTAAGAGACACAATAATCTTGAAAAATAAGAGCAAATAAATGGCTTGAGAAACCCTTGTTATTTTAACAGAGAATTCAATTCTAGTTTATATCAGTACATTAATATTTGACCTTAGGAAAAACCCTTAAATAACTCCAACTGATGGTACTCATTATAGCCAAGTTAATCACAAGCTTCTTGAAATTCATTCTCTAACCTGTGCAACTTACTTAGACACACTATAACCTATTTACACATTTTTATCCAGAAACATTTAAAAATTTTGATATTAAAATATATTTCTACACCTATAATTTTTTCCTTTTTTATTCATTCTAGTTATACATGGCAGAATAATGCGTTTTGACACATCATACATAAATGGAATATAACTTTTCATTCCCCTGATTGTACATGATGTTGAGTTACACAAGTCGTGTAATCATATTCACATTGGGTAATAATGTCCAATTTATTCTACTATCATTTATACCCCCATGCCCCCTCCTCTCCTTTCACTCTCCTCTGTTTAGTCCAAAATATTACTATTCTCCATCAATCCACCCCCATTGTGAATTGGCATCCACATATTGGAGAAAACATTCAGCATTTGGTTCTTTGGGACTGACTTATTTCACTTAGCATAATATTCTCCAGTTCTATTCATTTACCAGCAAATGCCATAATTTCATTCATCTTTAAGGCTGAGTAATATTCCATTGTATTTTTACACTACAGTTTCTTTATCCACTTATCTATTGAAGGGCACCTAGGTTGGTCCCATAGCTATTGTGAATTGAGCTGCAATAAACATTGATGTGGCTGCATCACTATAGTATGCTGATTTTAAGTCGTTTGGATATAAATCTAGGAGTGGGATGACTGGGTCAAATGGAGGTTCCATTCTAAGTTTTCTCCATACTGCTTTCCATAGTGGTTGCACCAATTATCAGTCTATTCCTATAATTTTTATGTCTCTTTCCTACTTGCTGACCCTTTACATTATACTCTGAAACAATCCTTATGAAATTTTTGATTTTAGACAAATTATTCTATTTTAATAATGTGAAATGCCTTATGTTTGTCTTTTTACAGTACTTTAATTGAAATGCATTTGAGACTTTTTGTACTCTTTGTATACAGAAATATATCTTTTAGAGTATTAACTCTTAGTAACCATGATTTAGGGAAGACCCAGAAACAAACCAATCCTAAACTCTTTTTTCCCTTTACCAGTTTATAAGGACACAATAATAATATATATATCTTTTTCTTATGGAATTTAAGAAGTCAAGGGTACTTGAATTTATATTTAGCAGGTGATGTTTTAGCATTTTAACATTGTGAATTAAATGTCGTCTCTAACAAACTCTTTTATAAAGAAGACTAGTCCCATTTAGGTTCAATCTAATAAACTTATTTTTAAATGTTAACTTCAGGTTATCCACAACAACCAAGATATCAGACAAGTGTAACAGTAAAAGCCATATTTTTCCTGCTAAAGAAAAATCCTAGAAACAATAGACCATATTTTAAACATCATATAGAGACCAACATTCTATTAATTGCCTTACCACATAGAAAAACAGGTGGGTCAGGAAAGACATATATTTCCTTTTATTCATTTAACCAATTTAAATTGAATTTTTCATAAGTGTTTAAGTCATATAAACTAAAAGGCATTTGGAGGGGCTGGGGATGTGGCTCAAGTGGTAGCGCGCTCACCTGGCATGCATACGGCCCAGGTTCGATCCTCAGCACCACATACAAAGATATTGTGTCCGCCGAAAACTAAAAAATATTTAAAAATTCTCTTTTTTTTTTTAAAAAAAAAAAAGGCATTTGGACCCATTTCTTTTTTTAGTGAGTGCTTATTTATCAATATGTCAATTTTGGAATCATGTAAATGTTGTACAAACGTATGTTGGTAAAACATACAATCACAGATGTGCACACATTTACATAAAATCAACAGAAAACAAAGATTTTCTGGCTTTTTGGCAGTTATGATTCCACATGTAGGAGACAATTATGCTGAAGA